GTCTTCAGGCCCTGGCTGGGAGCGGGGCTGGGTTGGGTGGTTCGGGCCCTTCTGTTGCTGCTGTGGTTTGCGGCCCGCGGAGGCGCGCTCTACTTTCACATCGGGGAGACAGAGAAGAAGTGCTTTATTGAGGAGATTCCGGACGAGACCATGGTTATAGGTGCGGGGGGAAGGGGACAGTTGGGAACAAGAATGTGGTTTTGGGGCGCGGGGCGTGGGAGGGTCAGCAGCGCTCCAGAGCCGGGAGCAGCCGGCCTCGCCGTGCTCCCCCTGCCGCGGACCTGGAGTCACCGCTGACCTAGGCTCGCCCGGCTTCCCTCCAGGAAACTACCGGACGCAGCTGTATGACAAGCAGCGGGAGGAGTACCAGCCAGCCACCCCCGGACTGGGCATGTTCGTGGAGGTGAAGGACCCAGAAGACAAGGTGAGCGGCCCCTTTGCCCCGCGGAGCGCTCCGCTCTGCACTTCAGCGCTAGACCAAGCAGGCGCGGACACTTCCCCTCCTGGTTTCCACATCTGCTAAATTGGTAAAAAAACAGTTGGTTATGTGAGGAAATCCCGGGTTTTCACTCCAGACTTCACTCTTAGACTGTTGCAATACTGGCTCTCCTCTCAGCCTCTCACTGACTGCTGCATGAGTCTTTCCCTAAGCCATTTACTGGTCTGTGTAATGCAAGTTCACCTGTCTTACAAGTGTGACAAGAGGATTAATTGTGGTGCCGAGAAACAATTTTGCCAACTCTAAAGCTGTGACACCTACACTTTAGGGTTTCATAGAACAGTGTACTTTCCAAAAAGAATGAGCAGCTTTAAATTTTGACAACGATTCAAACCAAAAAACCCCTCAAAACCCTTTAGCTGTCACCTAAAAAATGAATGACACCAACATCATTGAAAGGGCATGAGCTATGAATAAAAGAAAACTCTTCCCAGGAGCAGTCACATGCCAAGCTATGCCTGATTTTTTTACCCCTATTCCAAATAGTTTTCAGACAAGTTTTGACCATTGCTTCTGAGCAGCTTTGGACCTTTTGGTGTTGTGGGATGTCGGCTCTGCTTGCCGATTTTTGAGGCACTTAAAGCCTTAAGCACCATCCAGCTCCATGCAATGACTCTGACTAAAGCCCTTTCTCTCCAGGTCATTCTGGCCCGGCAGTATGGCTCTGAAGGCAGGTTCACGTTCACGTCCCACACCCCTGGTGAGCATCAGATCTGTCTTCACTCCAACTCCACCAAGTTCTCCCTTTTTGCTGGAGGCATGTTGGTAAGTGGACTCACATGGGACTAGCCCCTGTTTGGGATGGGACTGGTGATACTGTGGGTATGAGATGAGTATGTGGAGCTCTTTGCATATACCTTGGACAGAGCATCAGCCAAGGCTTATTCTTTTCTGTGTGTCTAGAGCCCCATAGAGCTGGACACTGAGGAGGCTTCATCAGTGTTGGCTTAATGAACAATTTAAGGAAGGTGGGTGGACTGACTGTCAGCCCTTGGCATGAAGAGGGAGCAGAGCTACCTGATTGTCTTTCTCTTCCTTGTCTGTTCACAGAGAGTCCATCTGGACATTCAGGTGGGTGAACACGCCAATGACTATGCAGAAATTGCTGCCAAAGACAAGTTGAGTGAGTTGCAACTACGAGTACGACAGCTGGTGGAGCAAGTAGAGCAGATCCAGAAAGAACAGAACTATCAGCGGGTGAGTGGCTAGGCTAGGATCACTGGGCTTCTTCTCTGAAGCTGCCTACTGGCTCAGCCAGGAGTTACATGTCAGATTTATTATGAAACATACCAGGTTGTCTACTTTGCAAATCTAAAAGGTGGGATGGCTGTTATTAACTCTTCTTTGTATTTGAGGAGACAGTCTCTTAAGGCTGTTACTGCCCTAGGTTACACAGTTACAGAGTGACAGCAGGAATTGATACCAAAACTTGGGTGCTATTTCCATGGCTCTAGGTGATCCCAGGGGTTTCAAACTCACCTGTGTCCAGGAGTAAGCAGGTTCCATTAATGGATCTATGACCATAAGGATTGGTAGGATAGTAACCTGCCTAACCAGGGACAGCTACTGTTGCCAGCCAAGGACAGCCTTGTAGAAATGCTAGCTGGCTCTGGGTTTTAAGAGGAGCTAGAGGTCCAGGTTTTTGTGTGAAAAATTCATTGGTTTTAAATGTTGGCAAAATACTGTGTGAGTCAAACAACACATACGTATGGGCCAAGTGCAGCCCCTGGACCACCAGTTTGCAACCTGTGCCCACAATCTTCAAGGAGCAGTTGGGAGACCTGAGTAGAGGACTCAGAGCAAGCCCATTCCTGGGCACTTCAGGACAGCTCTGTCTGATGGTGATATCACACTACTTGACCTCTCTAAGCACCAGGGTAGGACCTGGGAGGTCTATAACTGACAGAGCAAAACAGACAGTTACCTGAGGTCCTCTGACTAGTGAGGGTGAAGACAGTCCCCACATGGGGTGGCTCTTTGCAGCATTTGACTGGTACCTGTGCAGAACTAGTTGGCCCTGGGCCATGTTCCAGGGAGGTAACCCAGCAGTTCTGAAGGACCCAGGTGGGGCCCAGCCAATTCAGGCTCTTCTTCCATTCTCCCCTCCCACAGTGGCGAGAGGAGCGCTTCCGGCAGACCAGCGAGAGCACCAACCAACGGGTGCTGTGGTGGTCCATTCTGCAGACCCTCATCCTCGTAGCCATCGGTGTCTGGCAGATGCGCCACCTCAAGAGCTTCTTTGAAGCCAAGAAGCTGGTGTAGCCGTCCTTCCTCCCAGGCTGGGGGAGAAGAGGCCTCCTGGAACTGATTTCCCTCTGGCAGGAGGACTGATTCCCAGCCATGGATGTTCTGGAGGGAAGAGAGGTCACACGCACCCCAGGCACAAGCTAAGGGGAGCAGCTCAACTGGCTAATACTGAGCAGGTGGTGGGGCAAATGCCTGCCCCCTCTCCTGAGCTCTGGGCCTTTGCAGTAATCTCCTAGGGGCTATTGAAGCCACTGGGAGCCCCACTGGCACCTCAGAATCACAATGTTACTGATCAGGGATGTGAGGCTGTTATCTGGGGTGGCTGCGGGGAGGGGAGTGGGTGGGCAAGCCAGTTTACTTTTTGTCTTCCTTGCTAACTTGGGGTTTTAGGCAGGTTGGGATATAGCTGTGATTCTCTGCCGCCCTGAGAACCTCCTTGGGCCTAAATCCAGCCTGCTGATCCAGGGTGTGTGTGTCAATTGAGGGTGGGATAGAGAGGGTTGCAAAGTGGGAAAATGGTCCTGAGATTGACTCCAGGTTTTTCACATGGGTGTCCTTTTTGGGGCTTGAGGAACTGGGATCAGGGCAAGCAGAGGTCTTGGTGCTGGCTGGGGATGGGGCCTAGAGTCTTAGTTACTGATTTCATTTTCAATAAGCCTAGGTTTGTTACATTGGTTTCCCAATAAAAAATTAAAAAAAGACTTCTTGTCCAATGTAAAGTTACTCTACTATCAGTGGGCATAACACTTCAGGGAATGTCAGTTCTTCCAGTGGGCAAAGCACTTCACATTCCAAGATGAGTACCCACCTTCAAACGTCAATCTTTGTTTTTTAAATATATATTTTTAATTGATTTCAGAGAGGGAGAGAGAGGGATAGAAACATCAATGACGAGAGAAACATCATGGATCAGCTGCCTCCTGCATGTCCCCTACTGGGGATTGAGCTGGCAACCTGGGCATGTGCCCTGACTGGGAATTGAACTGTGACTTCCTGGTTCATGGGTCAGTGCTCATCCACTGAGCCCCATTCACGGGGCTGAACTTCATTCTTTTCATCCTTTCCATACCTTCCCGCAGCAGAGGGTAGTGGTTTTGCCCAAGAACATCCAACAAGTATATTGGGTTGGGGTTCAAATCCACACCACTTCCTCTGTGCCAGCTCCCTCATGAAGTGCCTCCCTGCCTTTCCAGAGTAGGTGGACTCAGAATAGACTTGTCACGGTGCTGCAAGGAAATGCCTAGTTAGAATGCAGTTCCTTGAACAGGAATGCTGCAGGTGTGGAAAGGACAGAAATCCCTGGGTAGGCAGGGATAAGGATATTGATGGGCTTAACCAGTAGCGTGGAATCAGCTGCCTCTTGCATGCCCCCTACTGAGGATCGAGCCTGTAACCCAATCAGGGAGTTTCCCCTATTATTAACGTCATGTATTAGTATGGTACATTTGTTAGAAATTAATGAATATAGCCAGGCCAGTGACTCAGTTGTTAGAGCATTGTCCCATGAACCAGGAAGTCACAGTTTGATTCCCTGTCAGAGCACATGCCAAGGTTGCAGGCTGATCCCCAGTAGGGGGCATGCAGGAGGTAGTAGCCATAGATGCTTCTCTCATCAATGTTTATATCTCCTCTCTGAAATCAATAAAAAAATTTTATAAAATATTAATGGATCTAGTAATACGTTATTTTTAACTAAAATCCATACTTAATGCAGATTTCCTGACTTGTTACCTATGTCCTTTTTCTGATCCCCTCTATGAAAGTCTGAGAAACTGTCACCGCCAAGAGAAGCCCAAAGAGACAACTAAATCTAAATCTATTGTGTCCATCTCTCTACCAAGTTTATTTTTTCCTTTAGTCCTCACAGCAATCATGTAGATCAGGCACGGTATATACGTATACTTAGGAGAGGGAACAGAGATTGTTTTGCCCCCACACATAGCTGAATTGGCAGAGTCAAGTTTCGAATCCAGTCCATCGGTCTGTAGTGCCCGGCTCCTAACTCCATGGGGTATCTCTTGTACGCAAGACTAAGCCCTGAGCTTGGCTTTGCGGTCCTCCAAGCTTGTTGCAGAGGAGGAATGCACCTGAGTTGACAGCCAGGAGGCCCAGACGCTCCTCGCCTTCCCTTGGGAAGAGGAGAAAGATGCAAATGACCCCAGGGCGCCGGTTTGAAAGTCCTGCCCCAACCCAGTGACTTGAGCCCCCTCTGGGGCCTCAGTTTCTCGGGATGTTAGGAAGCGGGGGCAGTTAGCAGTCCAGCGATAGCCGTGCTCGCGTGTTTCTCCACAGGCGGAACCTTTGACGCCACAGCTCCGGGGAGCAGACGGCGCGGCCGGAGCGGAGGACCCGCAGGACCGAGGGGCTGGGTGACGGGTAGGGGC